GCTTCCTGTGCCTAATTGAAAATATGAGCCTCTGCTTCCTGCTCCTGCTCCTGCAGTGGCCACCTCCTGCCACCATCCCTCCCTGCCATGATGGACTATAATTCTCCTGTGTTGCATTAAATTTTCTCCTCTCTGCTGAGAGACCCACACTCAGTCAGGGTCTTGAGGTCCTAACACTGATTAACAAAACCGATATAACACATTCTAATTGGGTTTTGCATAGTTTATGACATCTGGGAGATGGTAACTTACAAAGGCATGAAACGCAACCATCAGCATGTCCTGCCCCCCCCCCGTCTCTCCCAGCTTTTCTAACGTGTCCACTCACCCACTTGCCCTCCATTCGCATCTCTGTTCCCCATGTTCAATATGGTGACTGCTCCACCCCTTTTCCCAGTGTGCTCAGTGTGGGTCTCTAGGCCCTCCTCCCATCAATTCCAGCCTTTTGGAAGAACTTCTGGGTTACACCCTGGAACTGTAAGCTCAAATAAACTCTTCTTTTTATAAGTTCCCTTGGTCACAGAGTTTTATCATAGCAATAGAAAAGCAACTAATACACTAGGCAATCTCAATTTCATACTCCACACAAAAAGGTAATGAATGAATGAATGAACGAATGAATGTGGGTATGCTTGAGAATTAACATATCAAAGCACTGAGAGAGCATCCATCTTCATTGTACATAGTGAAGACTGGGAAGGACAGATAACCTTGGGTAAATGAAATATTCTAGAACAAGGAATAGAAAGGCTGGATGATCTATTAAGACCGTTTTGAATAAAATCATGGGTAGGACCCGGATTCAGGACATAGTTCCAGAAAGTGTTCCAGAAACAGTTTCATCAGCACAGTTCCAAGAGACAGAGGGTTGCAAGCAATATCTAAGCAAATGAGTGTCCTCTGAATTCAGGCTCACTCTTAAAAACTGAATTTAAGAGTTAGGCCTTTTGCTCAGGACGTTGTAATGTTGGTGTAGCAACACTGTAAGCATTCATTAAGAGTCGAACAACTGTTCTTTTAGATTTCTCTTGAAACTGTGCTTTTGAGGCCAGGCTTCACTCATGTTTTTATTGAAACAGTATCTCCAGCATGAAATGGGGAAATAGAAGTCGGGACCCACCCTTATCAAAGAATAGTGACCTTTGATCTTTAGGCCTAAAATATCACATGCACAATTATGAATAGAATTCTCTCACTCTTTCTTTGCTTTGACATGTTAATCATGCATACCCATATTCATTTACTATCTTGGATGGAGGGCAAGGAGAAGTCCTGAGAGATCAGAAGCACATGTCTCAATGATCTTGTTTACATTACAAACATTAACTTTTTTGGTACAAGGTCTTCAGTTCAGATTATGTTCATACTGTTAAAGTGATTCCTATACTGAGATTCCAGGTGTGAGTGACCAAATTCTTACCTAATAAAATCCTTTGTAAGCTCTACATCTCTGTCCTAGTTTGTTCTTCATTGCTATGACAAAATATTCTGACCACTACCAACTTGGGGAGGAAAGGGTTTATTTAGCTTACATATCTCAGGTCACAGTTCATCTGGGAGCCGAAGGTAGGAACTCAGGGCAGGAACCTGGAGGCAGGAGCTGGAGCACAGGCCATGGAGGAATGCTGCTTATTGGGTTGCTCCCATGGCCCCGATCAGCCTGCTTTCTTATGCAACACAGGCCCACCTGCCCATGGGTGGCACCACCTACAGTGGGCTGGGCCTTCCCACATCACTCATCAAGAAGATGCCCCCCAGACATGACCACAGCCCAGTCCAATAAAGGAAATTCCCCAATTGAGGCGTCCTCAACCCAGGTGTGTCAAGTTGACACTAAAGCTATCCAGCACAATCTCCATCAAGTCCAACCAACACAACCAGCATGCAGAACGTATTTGTGTAAACAGCACCTTTACTAAAGCAGCACCAAAATTGCCCAGGACAGATGTGGCACTGGCATTTCTTTACTTCTGGTTCCTGCTATGTTAAATGATGTGGCCTTTTCAGATTCAAATTACCCACTTTTATTTCAAGAACTGTGTGAAAAGCACAATATATGGGAGGGGCTAGTAGCATCACACACACACACACACACATACACAAACACACACACACACACACACACACACACACACACACACACACACACACAAACTCTGGCCTTGGTAGGACTCGGAATTGCTGATGGGCTAAATACTTGGTGTACTTGTCCTGTGTGGCTGCCTTCTACACTAGGATCTCTGCAGTCTCTATCTTCTGAGATTTGGGGGATTCAGCATTAATCAAATGTGAGGACTCTGGAATACAAATAGAAGGGACCATATTACCACATAAGGAAGCAACAGTAAGCAAGTTGAATGCCTCTGTACCATGAACATGTAATAAACATTATTAGTCCTTTCTTTCAAACCCTGTAAAACTTGGTTATGATAAGGAATTCTAACCTTTTTAATTCTACTACACCCTGTAAGACTTTTATTGAAGGCCCTAATGCATTTCTGAACTCGTTAGTCTGGGGCAATGGAGCTTTTTCCCCTTCCTTTGCACTGGTTTCTTTAGTCATCCAGGAAAGACTGTGAGGTCAGACCCCATTCTAAGGGGAAATAACACAATGCTCTTGTGTTAGGAATAAAAACCTATCAAGATTCCATGTCTTGTGTGCTTACTGGATATGATTGACACAATATATCCTTTTGCAAAAGTAAAATCTGCCTTGCAAAGTTACTTTCACTTTGAGTGTTCTTTGTGCTGTATTGGTGGGGTCCTCAGACCTCAGATTTTCTTTTTTCATACACTATAGTTTGATGGTATTTAGATCCCCTCCCATATCTGCACTCCACCTGCCCCCCTCCCCCAGTTCAATGTACTCTCTTGCATATAATATGGCCTATGGAGTCCGATTTGTGTCTCAAAATGTCTTTCAGTGTGGGTCCATCCACTGGGCTTACCTAAGAGTCCCAGCCCTGTAAGACATTCTTTTTTCCCCTTTCCCAGCAGAAATCAGTTGTCAAAATGCTCTTTAGATTGGGTTGGGATTTCTTACCCATCCTTATTTTGTACCTAATTAAAATGGAGAAGATATGTAACTTTCCAGTATACAAATTTGCTTGAAACATTAAAAGTTTAAAAAGTATGATGACTTTTGTTCTTCAACATTTGTTGAAGGCCATAACCTTGAATAAAATTTTTAAAAATCTAAGAAGATTCAGCGTGAAAAATTTGTAATTTTCAATATAAAGAAATTAGAAATTGAAGACTCCAGAGAAACATTTGAATATGTAATTTCATATTTATGCAACTGTGAAGGTTTAAGGAAACTTTTATGAACAAAACAAAAAAAACTATTTTTTGAAAAACCTTTTACTAGAAGGTTGTATCTTATGTTAGAGAAAATATGGCTATTAAATTGATCGAGCAGTGTGTGTATGAGAGTAAATAATCTGCTACTGTTATTTCTAGCATGTAGGTAACTGATAAAGATAAATTTTGTAAAATTATGTATATGTTAGTTAGTTTTTCTTTTAGAAAAAAAGCTAAAAATGCATTGTGAGCTACAAAGTAAAAATTAGAACTCCAAATGGGCCTGGAGATTAATTACTATTTATTTAACAATAGTTGATGTCATTTAAAATAATATTTCAGCAGGTGGCATGACGCATGCTTGTAATTCTAGCCGTGGTTAAGGGGGGTGGAAGGAGCACAAGTTCAAGGTAGCCTAGGCTACACTCAAGACGTTAAAAAAAAAATCAAATAGTATTCCATGCTAGTGAGAGTATCCAGCAAAACTAAGCTTCTTAATTTCCTGGTTCATGCAGAACTACCTTACTCCCTTATGAAAATTACATGTATGTATGATAAGATAAATCAGTCTACATATACATCTCGTTTAAAATTTCCTCTCAATACCCAACCTCACAACTGTGAAACGAGTTCACTTACTGTCTTATCTAGTGAGACCGAAGTGAATTAGCAGAACTGTTTAAGCAAAACCAACCCAAATCCTAGTTTATAAAAACCAATTTTCATCTCTGGAGAATTTGTGTATTTCTGGTACATGTATATGTTTTCACAGGTTTTGTCTGCGTTTTTGAGCCCTAATTAGGAGTACACAAATGACTGCTGTACACTGCTTGCTCAGTCTCAGTTGGCCTAGATGAACATGGGAAGGGGAGGTCCAAATACTCTTAACTGCTTTCTAGCTAAGCCTGGCAGCTGCCGTTTGAAATTTCTGAAACCAGATGGAGAGGGGCGGGCTTCTATTCTGAGAACACACTCCGGGACCTCCGGGCGAAGCGCAGATGCCGACCCTTAGGCTCCCGAAGCTGACAGCACGCCCTCCCGGGGCCCTGCGGCGCGGGGGCGCGCGTCCCAGCGGCGGCCGGTCCCGGGAAGCACACCGCGGTTCGCTCCCAGCGCCCGGCCCGCCCGGCCGCTTTTCTCCCGTCCCTCTGCCTCAGAGAAAGCCGGAGCATCCCGGGAGCCCGCGGGCTGAGGACCGCGGAGGGGGACAGGGATCGGTGGGTCGGAGAAGGAAAGCCCACAGGAAGGTCTGAGGAACAGGCCACGCGGTCTGACCGCGCCCCCGCCCCCCGGACTCAGTCAAGGTTCCGGGTGGCCGGGACAAAGGCGGCCTGAGGCGGAGCTGAACCGGCGGGCGGGGCGTGAGAAGGCGGAGTCCCAGCACCCCGGGTCACACTCCGAGGCAAGCCCGGACCCTCCCGCGCCACGGCCCAGGCCCAGGCCAACGCAGCGAGGGGGATGGGTGGGGCGGGGTCTCCTGGACGGGTGGGGCGGGGCTTGGTGGGGGCGGAGCCGTGGCGGGTGGAGCCTGTGGGGAACTGGGGGGTGAGAGGGGCGGGGCTAAGGGAGGGCGGGGTGCGGGGGGAAGAGCCTGAGAGGGGCGAGGCTGGAGCCGGAGGAATCTGCGAGGGAAGAAAGGCTGGTGAGGCGAATGGGGAGGGGCCTGTGCAGGGCGGGGCCTGTGGGGGGCGGAGCCCGGTCCTCCGGCGCAGACAGTCACAGCCCTGGAGGCGGCGGCGGTGGCGGCCGTTGGGGGCTGGGCGGAGCGGCCGCGGCTGCCCGGCGGCTGGAGCTGGCGGTGGCCTGGCGACCAGAGCGGGTGGGAGCCGGAGCGTGCCGCTGGCTGGGACGGCGGAGCGGCTGCAGGCGAGTCCCGGGAGTGCCCTCCGGTCGTCCCGCCGAGCTGAGCGGCGGGCCGAGGTAACCGCGGACGTTGGGGACAAGCGGCCCTGGCGGGGTGGCTCTGCGGGCCGGGGCTGGCTAGCCGGCCTGTTTGCAGCCGGGGTCCCTGCGCCTCCTCTGGGCCGGGCCGGGCCGGTTCTTGGCTCTCTACTGGACACACCCGGCGGGAGGCCGGGGGACCTGGGCCGCGCTTGCGCCCGCCTTGTTGCCCTGGGCGCCGCACCCTCGGCGTCCAGGCGGTCCCTGGAGCCTTTGTCTCTAGCCGAGCTCGGAGCACGCTCTCGGAGCCTCTGCAGCAGCCGCAAGCACTCCCTCGGTGTCTGTGCCACCGGGACGCCGGAGGCCGCCCTCCTCCCCTCCCCGGGTGGGACTGCCGCGCGCCGGGCTCGGCCTCCGGGCTGCGGAGTTGGGGATCTGCCATTCGTGCGGGTGCAGGGAACCAGCCAGGTCCCAGCCGGCGGCCACCCTCGGCTTTCAATCCCTACGTTTTTGCGAACTGTCAACAAAGAAATGGTCCAGCCGAGCCTAGACCGCAGAGCCAGCCGGTGGAGCCGCCTCAGGGCGCTCTTCCCTGGCTAATCTGGAAAAGCTTTCTGGCTAAAATCAAAGGTGTTACTGTGTATGCTTAAAGTACTTTTCTTTTTTTCCGTTTCGACGGCGATTTAAAAAATCTCGGTTAATTCAGTTAAAATCTGGGAAGCATATCTACACATCGGTAGAGGACGACAAAATATGGAAAGGAAATGGATTTATTTGAGGGGTAATCTAACTTTTTAAAGTGCATGAGATAAACTGTGTAGCTGTTTTTTTGATTGCTCTAGCGTGTAAATTGTAAATTCATAAATAAGGCATGTTTTGCACAAATATAATTTTGTTTGTTTTATTTTAGTTACTTATGGGAATTGTTGACTACCTTGACAGCTGAACACGGAGGAACCTGTGAACAGGTTTATTAAGAATCTGTCATCTTGAAAAATGCATTTTATGAATGTTTTGAATTAAGAAGGTGTCAACAGTGGTTTGTGATTTTTTTTTTTTTTTTCCCCACTTAAGATACTAATCTGAAACAGCTCCCTAGCAGCTGCTCAGATGTCTGAAACCGGCAAGAACTAGCCTGGAGAGCACTCATCCTTCAACAGGAAATACAGAACTACCTGCATCCTGTCTAAATGAAAGCTCTCTGATGCTCTCATTTTCAGATGCTGCATTAACACTTGGAGTGTGCAGAGGCATTGTGTGTAGATGGAAACACTGGGCATTCCCTTCAGTTTTCCCAATGTATTTTCTCATCTGTATACTTGAAACATCTACTATCACATGAACTCCAGATTTAACCATGTGTGACTGAGTTTTGAAACAAGACATCTGTTCAACAATTAAATAGATATATCCTGTGCTGTTTGAGACTATGGAACCACATCAAGTCAAACACATTCTTTTGCCAAATAGACTCTGGTGCTGTTGAATTTTACTGTAACTGGTCGTTCCAGGTCAACTTAAATGCAACTTAGGTCCAGATGGATGTGAGACCTGCATGGATGTGTGTTGGTTCTAGCCCACATAGAAGATAAAAAAAATAAAAACCTATTATGGCCAATCCTTGGGAAGAGAAAGTCTGCAAAATGGCCCAAACCAGTTTACTTCAAGGAAAGCCATTTCACTGTCGTGAGTGGGTTTTCCACAAACTTCAGCATTGCCTCCAGGAGAAAACCAACTGCTGCAACAGTGCCACCAACACTCCATCCCTTGTGGGGAATTCTGGGAATAATACTAGTGCCATCTCTGGAAAGGGGGCTGGCTGGGGTGTGCTGCTGGTGGGAGGGCCTGGCAGTGGGAAAACGGCCCTGTGCACTGAGCTCCTGTGGCCAAGTTCACCCACAAGCCTGCAGAGAGGTCTGCATCGTCAGGCCCTGGCCTTCCACTTCTGCAAAGCCCAGGACTCAGACACTTTGTGTGTTGGAGGTTTCATCAGAGGGCTGGTGGCTCAGATCTGCCACAGTGGGCTCCTTCAAGGTTATGAGGACAAGCTAAGAGATCCAGCTGTCCAAAGTCTCTTAGAGCCAGGGGAGTGTGAGAGGAACCCAGCCGAAGCATTTAAAAGGTAACAGTAAGAAGGTAGCCATGTTTCTGTTTCTGTGGAACAGTCAGTTACCTTGACTAGACCGGACAGTTGTTGGACTTAATCACTTATTGTCAGTATACCTGCTTAGTTTTACTATTAAAGGGAACAAAACTTAAGCTTTGTATTACTGCATAATATATGGCTTAAAAGTGAGGCTTAATTTTGCTGCTTTAATAATTGATGCTTTTTAAGAGTGCCTGTAAATGGTAAAGGAAATTTGTTCTCATGAGAGAGCAGTTTGCTGCAATTTCAGGGAACTAATCTGTTTTTAGTAGTATTTACTGTTTTTTTTAAATAAGAAAAGTTTTCTTTAAAACAGAGTCTGCAGGAAATTTACACTGCCAATGGAATTTTTATTCCTCTGTTAGCTAATTGAAAAGTGAGTGATGTCTATACTAACTTTCATATATATATATATATATATATGAAACACTGAACTCTTAAATCATTTTAGTACTTTGAGCGATGAAGAGAATGTTGTTTACTAACTTCAGTTAAGTATCTTTCCATGGTAAATGGATTGGTCTAAGTGAGCAAGTTGCTGTTCCCGATGGTTTTGGATACAGAATGTATTCAAGTAAACATCATTGCTTACATAAGTTTTGCCTGTCAGTCTTCTGATGACTGAAAGCAGCTGATCTGTGCCTTGCTTCTTCTCAAATCCCTCATTTTTCCATGTCTCTTTCTCCTCTACACTATTTCCTGCCAGGTCAAAGTTTGCACTCAAGTATTATAGTATATCACAGCTGAGAGGTTCGTGTGTATCTCTGAATGTGTTTCTAGGAGGGATCTGCAAAGGACTTGACCAACCACCACCAAATCAGTTTGTTTTTATGTCCTCATACCTAATGGTCTAAATCTATACATTTGAAAGTAATATCAAAAATATTTTATAATGGCAGCAAACTATGGAAGTTGCTGTTCTAAGTGATTTACAAATATTAAGCTATATAATCTTCTTAAGGACAGATGAAGTAGGTTCCTTTATTATTCCATATTATTCATGAGGAAACTGAAAAACAAAGTGGAAATTAATGTACAGGTTGGTACGTTGTGTATCTGAGATTTGAAATATATCTAATATGTATTTGTAATTGTAGGGGTAGCTTGAAAAACTTGATGAGGAATAGTTTGAAGTTATGGGTGGTAAAAGTGGAGAGCAGCAGGGCGTCTGTGCTTTAGTGCCATTTTCAGATGGGGTGTAGAGTGCTAGTGAGTAGTAGTATGGTTTGAATGGGAAACTCCCCTGCAGGCTCATGTGTTTGGAAGCTTGGTCCATAGTTGATGGTGGGCATAGCTGAAGGAAATGGGTCACTGGGGGTGGGTGTTGAGGTTACTTCACCCCACCCCATTTCCTGTGTGCTCTATGCCTCCTGACTGTGGACACACTGTGACCAGCCATCCTTGCTGCAGCCACCATGACTTCCCCACCTTGATGGATTACATTCTCTCAAACTATTAGCAGGGATAAACACCTCCTCCCTTACATTGCTTCCTGTCAGGTATCACAGCAACAAAAGGTAGCTAGTATAGGTAGTATGACGGAGGGATGAAGGCATAGAATTGAAACATGGGAGGAGTTGCTGAAGTCAGCCAAAGGGGCTTCTAACAGGTATGATGTTTTTCTAGATTTCAAATATGTAAATACTTCCAGTAATGCTTTGAGTAAAAGGCTGGGTAGGTCTTACCTTCTGTGTGCCATCAGATTCGGAGTTAACAATTTGCAAACTGATGAGGAAATCAGTTCAAACCTGTGGTACAAATTCAGTGCAATGTCAGGTTTGGTGGAGGATGCTGTGATGGAGTATTCAATATAACTTACAGCCTCTACCTAAACAGCTTGTCCTACCTAAACCACCTTTGTGAGGGACTGTTAAAAACTAAAGAGCCAAATTTTAATCTGTTTAAGCAATTTCATAAGCTAGTTGGATGATACCTAAAACTGTCACTTCCAGGAAGTATAATCTGTGTACCTGCATCGTAACTGCTTGCTGATCCTAAGCATGTTTTCCTAAAAGAAATTTTTCCTACTCAGACATTCTTCCTGTAATGGTTTTCCTGCCTGATTTTGTTACTGTTTCTGGGAAGGGAAATACGCAGTAGTTAGAGCAGTAGATTAAAACCATAGCACTGCCTTTCTGATAGAGGTGCTAAGGAGTTGGCAGTCCCAGTCTATACTTCCTCCTCATACTGCTTGCTTGGCTTTTCATCCAGTCATCCTGCAGTTCCTCATGAGCTGCAGGTCTGCTGTCTTGGATTTCCTGCCCTCCAGAACTGTGAGCCAAGTAAGCTTCTATTGTTTATACATCTCCTTCTCTGTGTTATTTTGTTATAGCAGCAGAAAGTGGACTTAGACAACTGATGTCTTTGAGTAAGCCCTTAGAAAATTGTATTAGAAATGTGTTTAATTTTGACATGATAGATGTCATTCAGCAGGTCCTCATAAAGGAGAGGACATTGTTTCATGGAGTCACGTTATTTGGGGGATATGAAAGTTAATGCACACTGATATGAATATAAAAGTAATCACAGACAAAATCTTTTTTTTTTACTTTTGACAAAAGTTTTAAAGTCAGCTTTTATATTATTAATTTTAACTTTTTAAAAATATTTAAATTATTTTTATTTTATGTCTATGAGCATTATGCCTGCATGTATGTAAGTGCACTTGTGTTGTTTAAGGGCATTGGATCCCCTGGAACTGCAGTTACAGATGGTTGTTAGCTGCCATCTAGGTGCAGGGAATTGAACCCAGTTCGTCTGCAAGAGCAACCACTGCTCTTAACCACTGAGCCATCTCTCCAGCCCCTATGCTATTAATTTTTTAGCATTTAAATTTTGATAATATTGATGGTTTCTTATAGTCACATGTAAAACAATATGGTCGTAATCTAAATTTGATAAAGAAAACAGTCATTCTCAGATGTGCAAAGCTGAGGAACCAGGAAACATGATGCTGTTATGGAAGGTGTTTTTATCTATTTAACCTTTCTCTCTTTTCAGTTTGCTTTTTTTTCCTTGTATTTTACTTAATCCTACTGGTAGAGTGTTGATGCTAGCAAAATTCCTACATGAGATTATATATGGCTGAGTGGTAACTTGTAGGTTTCTCAGATATAGTTGTCCAAAGTTTCCCCCTCTTCTCTGTCTGTCCCTCTCCCTCTCTCTCCTTCTGTCTTGCTCATTTATTCATTTATTCGTTCATTCTAAGAGCAGTGAAAGCAAATGTTTTGTGTTTTAAGCACAGGTATGCTGAGCTTTGTGCTTAGTACCGTGTGTGTGTGTGTGTGTGTGTGTGTGTGTGTGTGTGTGTGTTCAAATTGAGCTGGAGCTAAATTGCATGAACAGGTTGAATTCCTGTTTTCAAGGAGATTAGATTCTAGCGTTAATACCTGTCTTGCTTCTATGAAGAGAAATTAGGGTTGAAAACTATTTACAGTGTTCATATGCACACACGTGGCATTGATGGAATTATTTGACCTGCTGAAGAGAACATAAAGACACATTGTCCTAGTTTGTTCTTCATTGCTGTGACAAAATGCTCTGACCACTACCAACTTGAAGAGGAAAGGGTTTATTTAGCTTATGTATCCCAGGTCACAGTTCATTTGGGAGCCGAAGGTAGGAACTCAGGGCAGGAACCTGGAGGCAGGAGCTGGAGCACAGGCCATGGAGGAATGCTACTTACTGGCTTGCTTCCCGTGCTCCTGCTCAGCCTCCTGTCTTATGCAACACAGGCCCACCTACCCAGGAGTGGAACCACCCACAGTGGGCTGGGCCCTCCCACATTGCTCATCAAGAAGATGCCCCTCAGACATGGCCACAGGCCAGTCCAATAGAGGCAATTCCCCAATTGAGGCTCCTTCAATCCAGGTGTGTCAAGTTGACACTAAAGCTATCTAGCATAAATGACCCCTTGTCAACTTGACACACAAACCTCACTATTAAACCATAAACTTTACAATTTTTGTCCCCAAGATATGATGTTAATATCACAACATAAGACAATACAACCTTAAAAACCCCACAGTCCTTAAAAAATCCAAACACTTTATAAAGTCCATAGTCTCTTAATAGTCTCTTAACTGTGGGTGGGCATCTCTAAAGTCCAAAACAAGTACTGTCTTATTTCAAAGGGAATAATCGGGCATGCCTAAGCAAAACCAAAGTCCAGTAAAGTAGCTCAAGGCTGGACATCTGGGATTCACGAATGATCTTCTGTTTTCCATAGGGTTCTGGCAACTCCACTTCTCTGACTCTGCCATTCACAGCACACACAGCTCGTCTCGCAGACCCAGGCCAGCTCCATTCCACACCTACCACTGTCCTTCGTGGTCATCCCATTGTCCTGGCATCTCCAAAAAGCTGGGACCTCTACTGAAACTCAGGCTGCACCTTCACCAATGGCCTCTTCTTGCCTCTTGGGGTGCAAAGGCCTCAGATTCTCTCCATGACCCCTTCAATTCTGGGGTCTTTGCTGCAACTGAAGCTGCACTTTCACCTATGGCCTTTCCTGGCCTCTCACAGTGCCAAGCCTCAGATGCTCTCTGTGACCCCTTCACACTTTCAACACCAGAACCATGCAGGAGACTTACACATTACCAGGTCCTGCTTCCAGCTAGAGACAGAGGTTCAGGTCCCCTCTGTGTGCTGATCCCGAGGAAATACCTCCCAGAAGATTTCACCATAGTGATGCTGATTTTTTGTTACTTACAGCTGATTTTTCAGCCCAGCTAACCAGCATCAATTGTCCCAGTAACGCAAAGGTTTTACTTCAGGTTCTGGTCTCTTCTTAGCCACAGCTGATTCTTCAGCCCCAGCCGACCGGAACCCACAGATTCTCAATTCAAAATCGGCACAAACAACCCTGATAATCTCCGCTTCCCTTTGAAGCTTACAAGCCAGGCCTCCATCGTCCACAACTCTTTCAGCCTAACTGTTCTAAGCTCCACAGCAACAAACTGAGCATGCAATTGCTT